ACTGCAGGCAAAACGGTCTCAAGCGCAACAGAGCCTACCTGGACCTACCGTGAACAGGAAAGAAACGCGTGCTCACAAGCTCAAAAGGACGGTGTATGTACAGGGGTTACTATTCTACGGCCGGTCTCACAGTTCGCTCACTCACAGGGCTAAACAGTGTGGGCACACTTGCGCCGCAGATGTCCTGGGGCCGATGAGGGAGCGGCACCCCCGTGCTGATGGAACAACGCATGACTGCATATGGTGGCATGGTTGAAAAAGGACTCGGTACACTAAAGAAGAAGAGCACAAAAACACTCAGGGAGAGTGTAGCTATCTCATTTTCTCATCGCTCAAGACTCCTTAGCAGGGCGACCCGGGCATGAGATGCCGGTATCATGGCACTGTGGCCGAAAGGTCGGCTTCACATGTGCCTTCCCTGTACATAGGAACAGAGACAAAGGTTCAGACAGGGTTGCTAGCCTGTCCCCCCGTGCACCCGAGAGGGGGGTGCACCCCCACTTTTGTGAGAAAAATAAGCTCTCATCGTCAGGCCGATCCGCCTTCCCCAGCAGGGGGCCTGCGGATACAGCCAAGCACATAACAGTTGGACTGGATTTCGGGGCTTAAGGTTTCAAGCCTTTCCGATGCGACACCGTCGTCCATGTACCAGGCATCTGTCCTGCCCGGTATCAAGCCAACGGTTCTGTAGTGCCCTGTGAGAACTGTTTCACCCAGATGCACAATGATGGAGATGAGGTCATAGGCAAGCCAATCACACGCTATGCTGCTTTCATTTCTGAAGATCGGAAGGTGGACACAGCGATTGTTGAATGTAATAGGCACACGGGTCTTCCTCGTGACACCATTGGTCGTGGTATATCTAGGTAGGACAAGGAAAATGTGAGTCGGAGCTGTGCATAACGCATGCGGTTGGGCCTGCAGGTGCCAGTTAAGGATGAGGGTGTCCAGCTCCCCGTCTTGGATACCTCCAGGTGCTGCCAGAAGTAGCAATGGTGCAGCGGGCTCCCTGATTTCAGTAGTGCATCCCTCCTCAACTGCAACTCTCGCCTCCCAGTGAACGAGGCTATCAGTCCAAGCAAGCTTAGGGATGATGAACTGTATGAATTCACTCACGTCATGCTGTCTGTTGGGCTGCGCCCAGCCTAGCATGTACATGCGGAGAAACATGGCTGCATCCCAGTGCGTTTTGGCAAGTGCCTTCTGCCAAGCATCAGGTATGCGGCTCCCCGGCCTGAGCTGTGCTTGCCACAGGGTGGCAGTAATGACGGCGTTGATGTAGCAAGTGTTGCCACTATTCTTAAGCTTGAGGCGAGAGACACTCGGCACACCAGCTGGTGGCCGTGCACTTCCTGCAGCGCTCAGATGTTTTCCAGGGCCTTTTGCAGTGCCATTGCCAGTCCGTGGCGTTGCTGGTTTGGCGGCTGCAGTTGCGCTCCCACCACATTCCACACCGCGCAGTTGGCCAACTGTCGCAGTTTCTGATGCAGGATGTTTACTCTCGGATCTCGCATGGCTACTTCGATGAGGAACACTGCTTTGTCGCCTTCCTGGGGCTCTTGCTTGGGACGCCTTTGGGCGCAGAACCTGGTGACCAGATCCGGAAGACACAGCTCGGCGACCTGGTTGATGAGCTCCGTCGCCTCTTCCACCTTCAGGCTCTTGGCTGTCGCCGACGGCTCCACCTGTTTGGTGGCCGAGTTCCACTCCTGATACACGAAGCGCTTCTGCTGGTCGAGCCACTGATGCTTCATCGCATTCTCCACGGCCGTGGGATCTCCTACCATCAGTTGGACTCTTGCCACGACCTCTTTCAGCAGGAGGCCCAGCGCAACGATTCTCATCGGGGGGACGTTCTCTCCTTTCTTCTGTTTTTGTTGCCATTCCTGCCCCGCCTTGAAAAGCGGCAGCAATATGGTTCCTGGGCCTTGTTGCTGGAGGTGGAAGGTGAAGGATGTGTCCAGGCGTAGACGGTTCAGGGCGTCCTCCTGCTGCAACGACAGATTTGCCAGGAGCGTCACCACCGAGTTCAGGTTCTCGTCTGCAATTTGCCGCCGGCCTCCCCGCTGTCCTCGCCGGGCCGCTTTGGGTCGCTTGTTCGGTGCGTTCTCGGTCTCCCGGTCCATTTCTCTCGGCTGCTTCGAGGTCTCTCTCATGTTCGTCGCTAACCCTGGTAGTAGGTTGCCGAAGACGCTCACCACTTCCGTCGTCATGTTCACAGTGTAGTCCTATCAGGGCACATTGGAAGATCACATTGCATTGGAAGTAATGTCTGGAGGGGGAGGACCTGTCACACCACGGGCAGGTGCCATTTCTGAGGAGTCGGGGCTTGACCTGCGCACATCGCTCCTCAAGTTTGCCGTTGGCGGTGACTGCCCACACGTCCTTGTGGGCCCTAACTATGTGTCTCTTTAGAGCCGTGGGATCTGCGATCCATCGCTTGCAAACACAGCAGTGTTGCTTGAGGGACGACACAACATCGGCATCTAGCAGACTTTTCCAGCCTTGTTGCCGAGCAGCATCAAGAACCAGCTTTTGGGCTATGGGAGGCGGCTCATTTGCAGTGGCCTCCTCTGGAGCTTTTGGATTGGTGCTAGTATCTGCTTCGGGGCCGACCGCGGCTCCCTGAGTACTGCATTCCGGATAAAGAACAGGGCAGTATCCTTTTTCAATATGCGCTTTAAGCCCAATCCATGCCCCGTATTTGAATTTACAGAAGGCACACTGGGGCAGACCGTTCAGTGCATGGTTTGCCGGATCAAAATTGAGCAGCTCTGGCTTATCTTCTGGGTGCTTCCATGCCTTATGCTGTCGGAGGCTAGTGATAGTGCGAAATTGTTGACTGCAATGCGGACAGGTATAAGGGTCTGACTCCTTATCTTCAGGAAGCTGCTCACCTGCACTCATCGAATGGAGTGAGTTGATAGCCAGCGCGAGCTGCGCCCGGACCTGTGGAAGGGCCCTAATGTCGCTGGGGCACTCTGCTGCAATTTTCTCAAGCGCGTCATGCATTCTCTGGCCTTGGTGAGCGAGAGCATGCAGGGGGTCCTCAGCATTGAGATGCTTCTGGATCTGTTCATTGGACACTAGGGTAAGATGCGCCGGCTTTTTGGCAATAGCACGCATCTGTCTGGCAGCCATTGCTCGAAGATGCTTGCGTCCTGTGGGTCTAACACCCACCGCCAGTAGCCCGTGCGCTGCTGAGCTCCACACCCCGGCTCTCCAGATTTGGTACCTGGGGCGGTTGTGCGTTACGCGTCTGGAGTTGATGGCTTTGCGAAGCTGGCTATATTGACCCCTCGCCTTACGCATACGTAGCTGAACAGTTTTCTCCTGGGCATCTCTATAGGAAATGACGGTACCTAGGTACTGATGTGTTTTCCTGAGGGGGATCAGAATCTGCTCGCCGTGTTGCATGAAGGCAAGGTGTGGGAGTTTGTCCTTAAAGACCTTAAGTTTCTGCAAGATCCTAATTGCATCTGCTCCCTTGGCGTGACACAGCACGACCGATTTGGTTGCGCTGAGAGTCATACCGTGGTCGTTAAAGGTTTGCACGACTTTTTGGATGCCGCCAATGGCACCCTGAAGGTCTTCGGCGCTTTTTAACGTCCATGCAGCTAATGCGTCATCGGCGTAAAAAGTGAACAGCTGCGTTACCCAGTCCCAGCCTAGGCGCTCCGCTAGTGTGTCAATGATAGCAATTGTGTGTGCCACAAACAAATACGGCGCGACCGTACAGCCTTGTTTGATGCCTCGTGTGGTCGTGACGTGGTCCTCATGAACGCCGACTGAGCAGTGATACCTTGCCTCGAAATGGAACTGCATAAGGAGTTGCACCAGCGTTTCGGAGACCCCTAGGCGTCTCAGGCTAGTGGCAAGGGCAGTGCGAGGGACATTGTCGAACGCCCCCTCTAGGTCAAGGGAGAAGCATATGCCTCCTGCGCATTTAACCTGCGTAGCTCCGGCATGAAGGTCATATATGCTTTGTTTGCTCAGGGTCGCATACGCACGAGCCTCTCTCAGGTGGTTATGCACTCTCAGTAGGGCGTCTAGAACCCCTCTGCCGGCAGTATATGCAAATTGCGGTCGAGTGACCAGCGCTTCCTCGAGAAGTGGTCGGATGTGTTCTCTCAGCAGAGCGCATACCGATTTCGAGAGAGGGTGGGAGAGTCCTATTGGGCGAAGCCCGGACGGGCGGCTGGGGTCTTTCTGTGGTTTAGGCAACCATACGAGGTATGTGTCTTTCCACACGTGTGGGATGACGCAGAGGGAATCCTCCCCCCAGGATCGCATCAGGATGGGCTCCAGCGTTTTGGCTACCTGGTCACGGCACAATCTCCAAACTGCTGCCGGGGCCGACATCTTCGGCACCCCTTTGCGAAATGGTAGTTTTCCTAGGGCCCAAACGAGGTCTTTGGCCTGAACAAGAATGGGTTCAGTGACTCGGTGATTGGGCAAATAGTCTTCTCCCTGACAAAACTTGTTGCTGCTGTGCTTAATGAGCTCAGCCAGTTGTTCTTTGGGAGTGAGGATTTCTCCCTTTTCGCTGCGGATGTGTGTGCGCGCGAAGGGTTTCCAGGGAGCTAATTTTCTAGCGCTCATCCACACCTTCCGTTGATCGCCCTTAGCGGCAGCAACTTGTGGGTCCTCAGCGACAGCCTGCAGCTTTTCGCGTTTGATTTTCTTGGCAGTTTGTTTCATCGCTTTAGAGGCCACGCGAAACTCGGTGTACTTTTTCCATTTCCGGAGAGTTTCGATTAAGCTGTTCGCTTTGGTGGATTTCCATTCCTTGTACTTAGCCCACATCTCTTTCGCGGTGTGCTTAAACTGCGGATTCTGCGAAACGCGGTTGTCAACTTCAGGTTCGGGAGGGTAGACGGTTTGCAAGTGTTCTTTCATGATCTCATCCACCTGCCGCGTAAAGCTGTGAAGATGCAAGTCAGGGTCCAGCTTTTGAATATCCGCGTCGATGAGGTGTTTTAACTTTTAACTTCTTAGCCCGATCATCTGCCTGCGCAATGGAATCTTGGATGCATTGCCTAGACGCCATCGAAGGTTTGACAGGGTTCGGGAGCCGACATGGTGCGACTCTACGGATGTGAGCCTGCACTGGGATGTGGTGATTGGCCTTCCACTTTCCGAGGGCGACTTGATGCATGGGTCTGCTGTGTCTAGCAGTGCGAGTCGCGTGCTGAACCCTACACGCAACGAAATCCAATTGCGTTTTGGTGCCTTGGTGCACGCACGTATGCGCCGGAGTGCAGTTCCACGTATTGAGGAGAGTGAGGCCGAAGTCCTGGAGTATTCCCAGAAAGTCATCTTCGTCAGGCGATCCCTCTACTTTGGCAACAACGGCGCTACCTATCAATCCCCTCGAGGTTTTGATGGAGCAATTGAAGTCTCCCGCAATAATCAAGTCGTTCCGTTGTGGACTCTTCATGATGCTAGACCGTATCGCATCCCAGATTGAGGCCCGAGCTTTCAGGTTCTCGGCTTTGTCAATGTTTGTCCTCCACACATGCTGGTAGACATTCAGAAGATCCGAGCCGTTCTGCGGGTGATGCAGTCGAACCGAGAGTACTCTGCCTTGCCTAAGAACCCTGTAGCTAACATTATCTTGCTTGCAGACATTTTGATGGATCAGAGTGGCAACTCCTGAGCATTTGTCTTTGCCTGTAGCCCCTGAGGAGACGACGAACCAGGGGCCGGACGAGAAAGTGCGGCACCCCTCCTGTTTCCAGTGTGTTTCCTGCACGAACACGATGTCAAAGTCATCTGGTTTCTCACTTAACCATGACATGAGTTCTTGCCAGGCCGCCTGCGAGCCCCCGCTCATGTTCCAGGTGAGACATCTAAGGTGAGATGCTTTGTCAGATTTGGGATGCTTTGTGGGTTTAGCCGGCCGATCATTCGGCCCCAGCTGGTGTATGCCCCCTGTGGTTTTTGTCAGTGTTTCTCTAGTGTACCATGTGCCCTTATAGTGAGTGCCGCCTGTGGCATAGGCTCGTGCGCGAGCTCGTCGCAGCGATCTCTTGGCAATCCACCCGATGCTGTTATGGTGATTACGTGTTGCCTGGCCAGTGTCTTCGCCCATTCTATTGGACTGTTGGGGCCGATGTTGTGTGGCTCCCACCACGGTACTGGAACCCGTGGTAACCCTCACGTCTGCTCGACCCCCATTTGCTGTCACGAAGCTTCCACAAAGGATAAGAATCCACATCCAGAAAAGACTTCGAAAGCTTGGGGCCCAGCCGCTGGACTTGGGACCAGCGCGGCTCGGTGATGTGCGTCTGGCGGGCTCACCCATCTGTGTTGTAAATAGGTTAGTAGTGCACTTGGCATGTGTGCTGAGGATGTAGGGTCTCCTTCTGTAGCAACCTCTGATTCTCCTGGTGCAGAGCCATTTAGTTAGTCTATCTCTTTGCAGCGATAGAAGCCTGCCTGCATAACCTTTCCCACCGACCAAAAACACTCCCAGCAGAAGAATGTGTCCCCATCTCAACCTGGCGTACTGACTCTCGGGACCTGGGACATCTCGTCGATCATAGTCCTGCAGCAGAGGCGAGGGTTTGGTGCGTATGCATTGGGTAGAGGAAACGGTGCAGCGGATGCGATGATGCAATGCAACCCCCGTGTATGCTCGCTGAGCTGCAGTGCGGTCTTGGTCACGGTCACTGGGGGCCGAAGATCGGCTTCCCCTGGAGGACCGGAAAGAGTGAGACCGAACAATGGCCTGCATGACGACATCAGCAGCCGGTGGCCCCTCTGAGCCAAAAACTTCTTCTCCCGATGCCAGGATCCTGACGGCCTTTATACAATGCGGGGCCAGCTTGCCATCGGCACCCCGGGTTAAGTAGTAGCCGTTCATTGAACGGAACCAAAGGGCCCCCGATTCTTTCGGGGAGAGAATGATTGCGATGTCACAATGCGCGGGGTAATTCCGATATTCACTTCTGTCTACGGAAACGCAATGAATGTGTGTCCGGGACTGGGAGAGGCCTCCCGTGATGATGCCCTTCGCCAAGATCGAGCCATAGAAGTCCCAGTTGGTTGCATGGAGGACGTACTCCGGCAACTCGGCATCCCCAAGGGGCCGCATGACCGCTTCATCACGTAGTCCTTTCTTGGAGTGACCTTGAACCGCCCTGATGTAGAGATCGGCACCGCGCCATTCGAGCGCGAAGCGTTGCTTGTCGTTCCAGTAGACCACCGAGCGGATGTAGTTGGGGGTTGCCCCCTTCTCCTTCATGATGGAGGTGCGTAAAAGGTCTGACACCTTGGTCCACCCGGCCTCGTCGAACGTCAAGCCGAAGTCTTCAGAGTCGTGCCTCAGAACAACTGACAGTCTTTTGGAGAGAGACTGGTCCAGTTTCCAGTAGAGCTTCGTCGGCTCCCCAAAGGGGGCCGAATCGCGTGCTGGCGTGGGCAGAGAGGTGCCATCGCTGCTGGCGTAGGTCGTCTCCGTGTAGATGTTGTATCTCTCGACCCTGCGCGGGGAGTGGGGGATGCTGCCAGATTGATTTGGTGGCGTTTGCCCCGTAGGGTAGTCAACCTCCATTTCCACATAGGCATCAGATGAAGTCAGCTCGGCAGTCCGGGTTGCAGGAGCCGTGTATCCCATGTGCTTGGAGGTCCTGTCCGGCATGTCATCATCTCTACTGTCCTGGCTGGTTTGGTCCTGAATTGCCACTCGGACAATTTGCTCATCATCCTGCAGTTGCTCGGTGGGGAAGTAGTAGTCGAATTTGATTGCCAGGTCTTGATGACTATCGAACCAATGGATTTGTTCAGCGACATGGGGACTCCCTCAAACAGTGCGATTACGCTGTGCAGCATGCCGGCGAACTGGGTGAGGATGGGCTCGAAGTCCGCATCTTTGGACAGGCTCCATAACCAGCATTCCACTGCCGTGCCGAAGGTGGAGTGGTTCGCGTAGTTGAGCTTGTCTCTGGAAATCAGGCACATGACAAACGCAAGGTTCCAGTTGCCTGCGGCCGGGATGATCTTCAGGGACTCCGAGTGGTGGAAGTCTTCATGATGCTTGACGAAGTGCCCCATTTCGAAGAAATTTTTGAACATGAGGGCGACCTTCTTCTTGCGCAGGACATTGATGTCATCTTCGATGATGTCCAGCAGGTTCCATTTTTCACGCATGGCTCTCAAGGATTGTGGAGGCACACTGTCTCGGGCAGGGGGGACGAACTGCTTGAGGCCCTCGGAGACATGCTGGGCAGGGGCCGGAGGAACGGCTCCCTCTGTGGTAGGCCTCCTTTGCTCGCTCGAGCTGCTAGCCTGCTGCCTCTTCTTTGGCGATGCCGGTGGGTCAGGTGGTTTCTGCCGGAACCACCATTCTCCCTGCCACCAGATCTTGAGGTAGCCCTCGTCGTCTTCCGTCGCATGTACTTCGTGCCGGTCACTGGTGTCAAACTGGTAGTCTTCAACGTCTTCGTCCTCCTCGTCGTAGTACCAGTCCTGATGTTGATCCCGGGGCCGAGCGTCGGCTCCCCTCGCATTCTGCCAGTGTGGCTGTCGGCTCTCGCGATCGGCCGCTTGTCGCCAGGGCTGCTGATTCATCTCCTGAGCACGGCCCCTAGTGTCGGCTCTCTCCCTTTGATTGCCAGGGGCATTGCGGCGAGCACTGCGGGCAGCCAGTTCATTGCGGGCGCGCCTCCTAGTGCCGTCGGGCCTGACCCGAGCTCGGGGATATCGATGCCACTTTTGATCTGACATGCTATCGGCAAAGACAACACACATGTATATACTTATGCAATCAGGCGTGGCGTGCATCATGTTCCTGCGGCCCGACAACCACTCTACAACACGGATCTCCATTCTCGCACTTAGAAACCCCGAGGTCCTCCCACAGGTGCTTTGTGTAGGGCCGAATACGGCACCCGCAGCTCTTCGGCTTGAAGTGACCTGGGCATATAGTCCGGGTTTGGGGCAGGTATGACATCTGCGAGTGTCAGGCAATGGGAGTACAGTCGGGTGCAGGGCCATGCATCCTGCTACACCGAGTTTTCCACTTCGGGTACACTGCACCTGGGATGCGAGCATGTTAAGGATTTGACTGGGTATCAGGGCTGGCGTTCTGTGCCGAACATAGCTAACTACGACAGGGCACATATTCCACATATGTCTACGGTGAGGCCCTCGAAGAGCTAAGGAAGGCCTTCGGTAGATGCCTCTAACAAGCATCAGTTTCGGCCTGCATGGTCTCACACTTAGCGAGAAGTTCTGCAGCCTTCTTTCGCCTCTTCCTAGGAGGTAAGCTTCGAATGTCTCCGAGAAGTCTGGTGATAAGGCCCGCACATGAACCTGTGGAAATTGCGTAAGCCACAGCATTGCTCGATACGCCCACCTTGCGACCCTTAGGTTGTGGTGGCGGCTCTGAGTCCGTCGAGAGTGAGTCATCGGTGCCCGGTCCTTGTGCAGGGCTGGAGGATTGACCTGGGCCATCGGCTTCCCCAGGGCTGGGGCCGAATGTGGGACTGTCGGTCCTGTCCTCTGGGAGCATGTTTGTCTCATGTGCGGAGCTCTCTGATTCGCTCCAGTCCAGGAGCCCTTGCGCACTCCTCGGCACTCCATGGATTCTGTCACTTGAGGAGGAACTAGCGAGCGGTGGTGATGAGAGCTGCAATGGGGGGGGCAAAGATGGAAGCTTCGGTTGATTTGGGGGGGGGGTTGGGGCTTGGGGTCCTCTCTTATTTCGTGCGCTGGCTTTGGAGCTGGCTCCCCTAGGGGCCGTTGACTGCACGTAGTGGGATCTGGCCGACCAGTGCGCCTCATGGCACTGTCGTAGGCGGGGATGCATCTGCGGCAAAGGAAGACTGTGAATATCAAGTGCAGAGCGAGATTCATGGTTTGACTGAGATCAGGCTGATAAGAGACGTTGCAAGTTGTTGCTCAAGTGCAGCACACAACAACGGGAACCTGACAGAAATGATGGCCACCAGCTGAAGTCCCTGTTCTCTCGGTAGAACCTCAAGGATCGCTGGCACAAGTTCGTCTGCAGTATCCTGATTCAACAGCTGCCCTGCGAGGTCCAAGGCACTTTCAATGTCAATAGTGTCTTGACAGCTCAGCAAGCAGTCTGCAACCAGTTCCAGAGCCACAACTCGAATCTGAGTAACAGGCAGAATGGCTTCTAATGGTGTGAAGAGTACAGAAATCACCGAAGGGGCACTACGGTCCGCTATTGGGGGCCCGCTATACGAAACGCTGAGAGCCGAGACGCTTGATGGGTTTCAAAAAAAAGTTTCATATGCTTTGAAGCAAGCTTGCACGGCTTAAAAAAAGCGGGGGGGTTGGGGGGGGCGCAGCCCCCCCCATTTGCAAACACAATGCTTGCATGATGGGTTTCAAAAAAAGTTTATGCTTTGAAGCAAGCTTGCACGGCTTAAAAAAAGCGGGGGGGTTGGGGGCGGCGCAGCCCCCCCCATTTGCAAACACAATGCTTGCATGATGGGTTTCAAAAAAAGTTTCATATGCTTTGAAGCAAGCTTGCACGGCTTACGCAGCCCCCCCCCCCCCATTTGCAAACACAATGCTTGCATGATGGGTTTCAAAAAAAGTTTCATATGCTTTGAAGCAAGCTTGCACGGCTTAAAAAAAGCGGGGGGGTTGGGGGGGGGCGCAGCCCCCCCCATTTGCAAACACAATGCTTGCATGATGGGTTTCAAAAAAAGTTTATGCTTTGAAGCAAGCTTGCACGGCTTAAAAAAGGGGGGGGGGTTGGGGGCGGCGCAGCCCCCCCCATTTGCAAACACAATGCTTGCATGATGGGTTTCAAAAAAAGATTCACATGCTTTGAAGCAAGCTTGCACGGCTTAAAAAAAGCGGGGGGGTTGGCGGGGGCGCAGCCCCCCCATTTGCAAACACAATGCGTGCATGATGGGTTTCAAAAAAAGTTTCATATGCTTTGAAGTAAGCTTGCACGGCTTAAAAAAAGCGGGGGGGTTGGGGGGGGGCGCAGCCCCCCCCATTTGCAAACACAATGCTTGCATGATGGGTTTCAAAAAAAGTTTCATATGCTTTGAAGCAAGCTTGCACGGCTTAAAAAAGCGGGGGGGTTGGGGGGGGCGCACCATGAAACACAATGCTTGCATGAGCAAAAAAAGTTTCATATGCTTTGAAGCAAGCTTGCACGGCTTAAACAAAAGCGGGGGGTTGGGGGGGGCGCAGCCCCCCCCATTTGCAAACACAATGCTGCATGATGGGTTTCAAAAAAAGTTTCATATGCTTTGAAGCAAGCTTGCACGGCTTAAACAAAGCGGGGGGGTTGGGGGGGGCGCAGCCCCCCCATTTGCAAACACAATGCTTGCATGATGGGTTTCAAAAAAAGTTGCATATGCTCGGAAGCAAGCTTGCACGGCTTAAAAAAAGCGGGGGGTTGGGGGGGGCGCAGCCCCCCCCATTTGCAAACACAATGCTGCATGATGGGTTTCAAAAAAAGTTTCATATGCTTTGAAGCAAGCTTGCACGGCTTAAAAAAAGCGGGGGGGTTGGGGGGGGGGGGGGGGGGGGGGCAGCCCCCCCCATTTGCAAACACAATGCTTGCATGATGGGTTTCAAAAAAGTTTCATATGCTTTGAAGCAAGCTTGCACGTTGGGGGGGGCGCAGCCCCCCCCATTTGCAAACACAATGCCTGCATGATGGGTTTCAAACAAAGTTTCATATGCTTTGAAGCAAGCTTGCACGGCTTAAAAAAAGCGGGGGGGTTAGGTCGCTGAGGGGGGGGGGGGTAGCATATGTATATATCTTATATAAACTATATATATTCTATATACTATGTGTATATGTATATATAGACATACGCAGAGTATATTTACTATAATATACACATATATATATATATATATGATGTACTATATATATATATATATATATATATATATATATATATTTGTTTGTTATCTGTACTATGTATTCCAGATATACTATATCTACTATATATACTGTATGTACTGTATCTCCTATATATCATATTTATATATACTATAAACGCTATATATGTATACTATGTAGACTATATATCGAGTATATATACATACTATATATTTCTTACATGTATGTCGTCCATGAAATAAGTACCTATATATATCTAGCAATATATATATATATATATATATACACAAGTCCAGGAAACCATGGACACCACGAAGCAAGGAACCAAGGAAACCATGGAAACCATATAAACCATGGAAACCATGGAAACCATGGAAACCGTAGAAACCAAAGAAACTATAGAAACCAAGGAAACCAAGAAACCAAGGAAACCAAGGAAACCAAGAAAACCAAGAAAACCATAGAAACCATAGAAACCACGGAAACCATGGAAACCACACAAGCCAAGGAAACCACGGAAACCATGAAAACCACAGAAACAAAGGAAAGCATGGAAACCAAGGAAACTAAGGAAACCATAGAAAACCATAGAAACCATAGAAACCACGGAAACCATGGAAACCATAGGAACCAAGGAAACCATGGGAACCAAGGAAACCATGGGAACCAAGGAAACCAAGGAAACCAAGGAAACCATTGAAACCAGAAATCTCTTGTAAACAGTACTAAACCAAGAGAAACGCGTTCCAAAATGACCCCTTTACGCGTTCCAAAATGACCCCTTTACGCGTTCCAAAATGACTCCCTTACGCGTTCCAAAATGACCCCTCTCCCATCAGAGCGGGGTCTCTCTCTTCCTCTTCTTCTTCTTCTTCTTCTTCTTCTTCTTCTTCTTCTTCTTCTTCTTCTTCTTCTTCTTCTTCTTCTTCTTCTTCTTCTTCTTCTTCTTCTTCTTCTTCTTCGGGGCTTGAAGGGCGCGCGAGCACCCTCCGCGCACAGGGCGCGCCCAAGTTCCTGTCTCGGTCGGTGTGAGACTGTTGCCTTTGCAGGAGGACTGATTTTCCACGACGAAAATGGACCCCTAATCCCCGTGACGCCTTCTAATCCCCAGTATTCGCATTCCTCGTGTTTGGTGGGCCATGGAGCGCTACACGGGCGTATCCCCCCGAAATTGTATGATTCAGGCCGCGAGCCCGCCACTCTATGTAAATAGAAGGCAAACAACGGCTAGGGCTAGGGAGGTCATGACCCGCTTCTCACCATTTGAGTGGGTTCGCCCGTTTGCTACTGTCAGAAGGGCCAGAAAAGTCCCTGCCCTCTCTCTCTCTCTGTCGCTCCCACTTTCAGTTGTGCGACGATTTGTCACATTTCTCCCGTGCTGCTTTGGAACTCCTACAGGAGCATGCGGGGCCCCCAACGATGTACTTTTGTCATGTGGGGGCCTCTATGGCTGGCTTCAGCATGCTGGACTAGGGCAAACGAAAACGCGCTGCGCGAAGGTGCATGTCCGGGCGAAGTCTTGTCTTGACATGCCTTGGTATCCGCAGGAACGGGAAGTGCAAAGACCTTGGGCTAACTGCTTTCCACGTTGATGCTGAGAGGCATGTGCCTATAGATTGTGTGCATGTACTCATATCATGCATGTACGCACGCGTGTATGTTCCTCGAGGATTGGGCAACAGTTGGCAACAGATCCCAGGTCCTGCACACCTCGCGTGGGCTCGGGCTGGAAGCCCGGCGGCCGCAAGGGCAAGGCCGTGGCGGGGGCAGGTGGGGCGCTTGGTTGTGGAGGCTGCGGCTGCTGGCAGACTGCGGCAGCTGGGGCCGGGGCCGAGGACGCGGAATCGCCGGCTTCACCGGGCCGCCGCGTGGGGGGTCTGAAGCTGTGGGTGATGCTATCCCAGAAGTAGCGCCTCTTGTACCTGGGCAATAAGAACCCAAACACCTGCGAAACATGTGTAGGTGTGAGAGAACCGCTCTGTCATAGCCCAGGCCGCTCATCAAGCAGCTCCCGCGAGTTTGTCGTCGTCTGCATGAGTACGGCCATCTGAAGCGCATGCTCCTCGGGCTCCGCTCAGCCCTTACTCTGCAAATACACAGCAATGAGATTTACGCAAGAGAAAGTAGTCTATTGCACTTTTTCAATTTCTCTATCAATCTCCGAAAACCGGGCATTCGGTGGCTGGCACAAGGGAAGGTCAGCCGCTCCCAACGTCATTTGCGCGAGCACGAGCGTGTAGCAAAGCAGGAACACTTAAAGATCCATGTGAGGTCCTTGTTTTCCTTCTTGGAATCCTCCAATCTGTCGAGGAACATGTTTCGCCGTGCCAGCATTTTTTCCTCAGTCATTCTTAGAGTCTTAGGGCACACAGCTGAAGCTTTCAATTGCGCTGTAACAAGGCTTGAAAGGTCCAACAGCGACATTGCGGAACGTGAGGCTATGCACGAGTAAAGCATGCTATGTACGCCCCGGCGAAGAGAAGATGCCATTTTGGCGTATGTGCCCCGCCGCCAAACACTGAGCGCATGAAGCACAAAAGTCACCTGTTTCCGAGTCTCCAAACAGAACTGGCAATCATTGATCATGCGGATGTAGGCAGCTTGCACGGCCAAACCCCATGATTGCACCAAACTTTCATCTGGTGGAACTCCTCCAGAAGAATGCTGGATGCAAAGCAGGCTCGATGCGTCAGTTTGGGGAGTATGAGCACATGAGAAACTTGCAGCGCCGGTGGCTGGAACTCCCCAAGACAAAGCAACTACAAGCAAAGATAGGCCATGCGCCTCTCAGCCTGCTACAGCTTGGAGGTTCATAGTAGTCATAGTACTTATAACCCCAGTCATACCTGTACTCATCGCCCACTTATAAGCCCCTTAAGTGCCTTAACATGGTGATACTTGCAACAGTAATTGGGTTAATGAGTATCATGAACCTCCAAGTATCCATCGAAAAGCTCCGTTCAGCGCCTGGAAGCGCGCTTGGTTGGCAGGACAGAAGCTGCGTGAGAGTGTCGATGAGGAAGGTGTTGCGACTTTTCCTGGTGTCGTTGGCAGATCAGGACAATGTCCCGACTTGGGGATTGGTTTAGTTTACTCACCACACCCTACGCGCATTCGCAAGCGCACAGCTTCCAGTCTCAACTCTCATGACTCGTGCCGCGTCTGCTTGGGCACGCCACTTCATTGCAGAATATGGCAGATGTGGGGGTGTCCGATAATGGGGGGGTACCCTTTTTGGGGTCCCTTTCTGGGGATTCTATTCAACTTGGGATATCAAACGGGTACGCCTATTTTGGGAAATGCTCATGTTGCAGCATGACTACAGGTGCACTGGCAACAAAACATACGGAGACAATGCCATGCTAAGTAGGTCTGGGCATCGAATCCTCCGCATACCTGACAGTGCAGGCGGTCAGGCTCAAGGGGCAAGGGACGTGGGTTTGGACCCTCCAGTGCCACCAGTGATATGGGGTGGAAGTGCATGGGCTCTCCATTGGCCCATTCATTACATAGTGGCCACGCTGCTGCCACCACACCAGTACCAGGGGCTTTCACTCTCTACTCTCTGACTTTTCTCTGGCTAGCTAGCTGCCGTAGCTGCCACAATTCCCCGGATGCCGCTACGAACTCACGGTGCGAACGGGGGAGTTGAGAACTGCTCTTGGCGGAGTCTGATCGCTGTGGATGAAGCGTATGTCCTGCACTCTTGCACAATGACTGCTTTGCTGTTCTTGGCCGACCACATCCTCAAGGACAAAGGTCCTGTTCCTAAGCCAAGGAGCAGCACCATGAGGTCCAAACATGCCTGTCAGGGGCTGAGGTTCAGGATGCACGGTAAGCTTACAAAAAGTAAGAGTGTTGGAAGTAGGGTCTGTGCACAAGCGGCATTCCCAAACCGAGCTTTCTTCCTTGCAATCGGACTCGTGACAAACACGAGAGAAAGAGGGTGAGGAGAGCCGGCAACTCCACTCTCGTGTCGCCCAGTGAGGCCATGGATCCTATGGTGACGAAAAATCTCGGAAGCACGAAACTCCAAGAGCGGCAGGTCACACTAAAAACTCTTGCAGCATTCCCAGAATACCTAGTGGCCCACTTCATGCCTCGCATTTTTTTCTGGTCCACACTCAGAGCTATAAAAGCCCACCGAAGAGCTGATTGCGTCAGTCTGCCGAGGCCTCGAACCGTCGCATGGAAGCAGGTACCACCTCCAACCCCACGTGCACCTTTATCTGTCCGACAGTGCATCAGGACCGGCATTTGTGGCCATGGTGCCGCGTCTCAAACCCCTTCAGCTCCTTCTCCCGCAATGTGACGCGTTGCCTGCCTTCTCTACAAGCCCGGCTTTAGGGTGCACGTTGGGGTGCTCTATATTTGAGGCTGATCCATATGGGAGACCGCGTGTTGCAACAGGCCACCACTGTAACTAGCCCTCCGAGCAGGCCCTGGCCGAGGCGGGTCGCGTAGAGTCAAAGTGGCATGGTGTCGAGATGCGAAATCTGGAGCGACGATTGGTGAAGAAAGGCGGCCTAATGGTATCGGATGGGGCGCAGTTCTTTGTTGGCTTTTTGTTTCCCAGGGTGCTCATTGTTAGCCTCGTTCCTGCTGGAGTTGGGGGGTCTCCGGGCCCCTTTCCGATTCTGAGGGGCTTCTATGTTTATTCTATTTTTGTGATCGGCCTAGCTGAACCCTCTGGGCCGCTCCATGTTTTTTCTACTAGGGTTTAGGGTTTTAGGGCTTGGGGTTTAGGGTTTATTTCACGGGGTCTCTTCCTTTGTCGGGTCTCAGGGAAGCTTTATTTAGGGTTTCAGGGGTGCTGTTGAGGTTGAGGCCTTGGAGGAGCAACATCCCGGGTGATGGAACTGCAAGAGCTTGACAGGATTTACTCAGCATCTTCTGGAAATTCCAGTGGTCCCATTTTTATTTCCACCGTCCGAGAGAAAAAAAGGTTGCAAGAATGTCTGGCATCATTGCCCAAACAAACCCAAAAAAAAAAAACGCATGTTCGTATGTCTCAATGCCGCGCCCTGTTAGATTGAAGTTCCTTGAAACATCCGCGGCGCTGGAGTCAGGATGCTTTTTTGGGTTTTCATTTCAACGAATGTCATAATGAAATCAAATATCCTGACCTGCGGATGCATCATACCTTGAAACAAACCAGAGCTTTCTCCCCGTACGCAACACAGAACGGTCATAAGCCATTTTGCGCGATCTAGGAGACCAATCAACCAAGCCATACAACGTACAATGGCTCGTGCGCACGCGCATCATAGTGACTTCTGCAGACCAATGGCTTCTTTCGTGGCCAAAGCTGAGACAGCATACATGTCGCAGACGATTCGTTCTGCGCTGGGCTGTGTCTCGAGACATGCGCTGCAGCACACATGCGGCAGTTCAGGCTTCTCACGCTGCGGAACACAATTCGCATGCCAAACCCCAACCACACGGAAAATGTGCGGAAAGCTTACGGAGGCTAAAGCTGCCGCCCAGCCTTCAAAGCCTCCTCCTCCTGAGACTGCTGCGCTTGGTGCGCACGGAGCTCCTCGGGGTGTAGTTTGCCATGGTGTTTTGCCCTTCCTTGGGTTTGTGTGATGTTGTGTGGGGCCACATGCAAGGTCAAGCAGTGAAGCTCATGGAACTATCAGTGTGTGCACGGCACAAGTTGCGCACTGGCAAGACAACCTGGCCTCTAGTTGATCCATGAGGTCTTGAATCTGCATTCCTCAGATGCAATAGAATGACAGTGCTGCTGGACAGTCTTGACTCTCTCGTTCGCTTGAGCGCACCGCCGTCCCCTCGTGTACTGCCATCAGCGTAAGTGGGATCAGTGGGGTTCGGGCTGCGAGGAGGAGGAGGCCTCACAATCGATGTTAACGCCCTTCACCCCGAAATTCTGCTGGAGATGGACATTCCCTTGATTGAGAAAATCTTATCCCGAATGGGGGGGGGTTATTGCAGAACTTGCAGAGCTGAGAGGGAGACGGAAATCATGTTGAAAGCATACGGAGTTTTCAGGGGTAAACAGCCCATCAGCGTGTGGCAAAAAGTCGCCCCAACAATTATTGAGCAAGAGGCGGTGGCTCATGGCTTTTGAATCCTCTTCACGAAAGAAAGCCATCACGTTGGACAGGAAACTGTCCTCGTTGGCCTTTACGGGGTCGCTTCGGTTGCATGATGTGGGACACGAGATCTTGCTGTCATGCGAACCTCTTCCTGCGACTACCACGTACTGTTCAAGACCAGCATTTCCCGATTGCAGACCCTCATTCTTCGAAACGTGTAGACGACATGTTGACCCTGCACCCGAAAAGTCCTGAAAGCGATGTTTTTTCGAGCGGTTCCACGGCCAAGTAAGAGCCTCATGCAACCAATGACCAGCACATTTCAAGGAGCAAACAAACTCTAAACCCTGAATCCTAAGCCCTAAGCCCTGAACCTTAAACCAACTCCACTTGGCAGAACTCCAGAAGCCGTTCCAAGCGCAGCCTTCTTGTCCAGAAGCTGGCGGTGCAGCACCCCACACTGTGTACGGAGCCGTTGCTTCCGCGCATCCGAGGGACCCTGGGAGCTTGGGGTTTTTTATGGCTTAGGATGGTTTAGGGTTTAGGGTTTGGGGTTTGGGGTTTAGGGTTTAGGGTTTAGGGTTTAGGGTTTAGGGTTTGGGGTTCAGGCTTGTACAGCTTGTTGCCACTACTCTTGATTTGACCTGTGGCTGGTTTGTTTTCGCCGATACGTTCCAAGACTTCGACAGGTGGAAGGCACTGCGGTTCCATATCAGAAGCAGAAATCCAGACAACGTCGCGGCACGCCATGTGAGGCAGCTAAGCACCGACAGCAAAGTACTTGGTATTCATTTTTCGCCGGCTTCAGGTTCTACTTCTAACTTCCCCAAAAGGCTCTGTCCCAACTCCGTCGCCCTGCAGAGAAAGGCCCGGAAAAATCCTGAAGATCATCCCAATGGAAAAATCCCATGAGTGTGCAAACCCTTAACGATTCCTGCAGAAAATCTCACGAGTGCTCACGCCTAGATATCCCATCACCGCATCCTGCAGAGTGTCCAGCTGGGGCGGCAACTAGTTGGAACCAAGGGTGGAGATTATCGAAAAAAGCAGCTGCATTTTGCGCCATGGATGTACTACGCGGCGCCTTCCTACACTGGCCCCAGCTGTCCCTAACAACCTGTGCCCCTGAAGTCCCCCTAAACCCTAAACCCTAAACCCTAAACCCTAAACCCTAAACCCTAAACCCTAAACCCTAAACCCTAAACCCTAAATCCGAGAGACTGATGTGATCCCGCCATTTGTTGCTTCTCGATGGGTTAGCGGAGGTCGGGCGACGGCTGCCTCCACACCTCCATTGACAGCACTTGGTTCTGCGATGCAAAATGCAAAGAGCGGATCTCAGAAAGAACCACCTTGAGCAACCATACTTGGAAGCCCTTTCTTGACTGAGTAAGTAGGGTTGGTAAGGCGGTCTATGGGGATCAGATTGAAGAGGGTTTCTGGGGGATACTACGTAGACTTACAAAGTCAACAAGCTTCCAAGTAGGGGTACCCCCAAACCTCAGGCGGTGCACCTTTTAAGGCCTTTGCCAGACGCTCGGCAGGGAAGAGCTCACCAGTGGCTCGCACGAGCCTCAGAGAATTTTAAAAAGCAGCCGGGCCGCAGAGTGTCTGTACTCCTTGTCCTGGATTACTCGGTTCCAGGGAGATGTTTGAGTGTATTGAGTAGTGAGCATTCCCTGTCCTACAAGCCTACATAAAGTGCACTCCCTGCACACCCTGTCGCGACATGGCTTGGAAAAACTTTGTCCTGCGGCCTTTCGGATGCCACCACCTTTTGAAACCAACCCTACAAGCCGAGAACATCAGGGTCCTTTCTCTTCGGTCGCTCGAAAGATGTGTTCCTGCTGTCAGTCTGGTGGCTTCGTCGCAGTCTCGCGCAAAGCCGCGACCTCGCCATCTTCGACACTCCCATCGTCCATCTTTGCAGACCTGGCTTGCAATGGTATGAGAGGAGGATATCCATCCTAGTCTCAATCAGCGCCCCAACTCCCGGGCAACTTTTCATGTGGAGGCGGGGAAGCCTCCAACTGATTGCAACCCCTGGCCAAAAAAGCACTCCATTCTCAAGTTGGCAAGCTACTTCGCTACTTGCAAAACGAGCAGCGGTGGGAGGCCGTATCACCGGCATCTGTGAGGGCGCCCCATCGGACAATAGACAAGCAGTTTGAGGATTAGGAAGCCGCCCCCTTTGCTACATCTGTGCGCTAGGCTCACGTGCCCTGATTGCGGCGTGACCGTCTGCGTTCCTACATGAACTCGCTTGAACTCTGCTGGTCTTAGTAACTATCTGGAAACATGAGCTGCAAGAACTGAGGCTGCTTTGCTTAGTTTCGGGCTGTTCCTGGTGACTGACGATGTGCTCGCGCGGCTCTCGTCAAGGTGCACATGGAAGATCATTGAGACGCTCTGCAAAAACAAGTATGCCAAACTGAAATCTACGCAGCTTGAGCCAAACCCAATGGCGGAGGCTTGGCGGTGTGCTGTCATTCGCGAAGCCAAAAACCGCAAGGAAACTGGGCCAAAACAGCAGAAGAACTTGAACGCCAACTGTGCCTATGGCTCTGTTGCTGCTTCTGCAAGCTCAAGTTCTGTCAGCTGGGATCAAGTGGGTCCGAGTGTGCCCGAACATGTGGAAGGTGCAACGCCTTGACCGGGGGTTCAAACGTCTCCTGACACAAAACCCCCTGGATCGGCAATGCCTGAGCGACCCCGTGCTTTCTGCAGCTGTGCCGCATCCTTGTCAGCTGGCAGGCATCTCTTCGGACCGTACCTTTTGTCAGATCCCCCATGACATGAGGGAGCCAGCGCTACGTTCAATTGAGCTGTCCTACAGTGCCCGGAGACATCAGCGCACATGAATACACGACAGATGCTTTGGTCATCTTGGGAGTGTGTTGCGCCAAGAATCTGAACTTCTGTTTGAAGAACATTTGGTCCAGAAGTTCTGCGAAGAACTTGGTCCTGACATGCCAGGTAGTATGCCACCTAAAGCCACGACCTGCCTTCCAGTTCCAAAGCCTAAAGAGGGCATCGCCAGGGTATTCGGGTTGCTGGCCTTGAACCTGAAGCCCCGAAAAGAAACAAGGGCAAATGGTGGCAAATCACGCAACTGAAGCAACTTAAGCTGCCCTGTGCGCGACGCTGACAAGGCCCTGAATCTTGTCTCCTTGGGACATCGAAACCAACCCTCACTCGAAACTGTGCACATGGGTTGCGCATTTCTCTTTCTCACACCTCGATCTCCCCCGACTGCGACAGAATGCACTGGGCCTCTCCAGGGCATCTCCTTCCATCAATGGGTCCGCAGGCTCTAACTTCTTGTGCTCCTGAGCCGGCTTTGGCATGGGTAATGGCACGTGGGGCTTTTAAATCCAGGCTGCTAGCAAGCTGTGGGCTTCTCCCAGACAAAGGATAAACCTTCTCAAAGCTAAGGGTCCCGTGCGGCTCGCTGCACCTCGCGCTGCACCTGCAGTCCACAGTGTCTGGCAGACAGTGGGTCTTTGAGGCCCGCAAACCCTCGAGGAATTACACACCATGTGTCTCCCTACACCTTATTTTTCGCAAGCCCCAGGTCTCGTGCAGCCAGTAGTATGCCTCCCTAACATATCCCCTCCCAGGGATTATTGACTTCTAAAGACCTGGGACTGGACTGTGCGGCCTTGTCAGATTGTGGCAGCGGCTTGAGGATGGCGTTCCTGAGCATCAAGGGCATCTTGCTGCATGATAGTAGCAAATTAGGGGTGTTCTTTTCATGGTGACTTGCTATGAGTACTTATCTCAGTGTTTTGTGCTTCTTATGCTTCTCATATCAGTGCCATCCCCAAATCCCTGGCTGAAGTGCCCAACCCGGAGTGCTCTTCCCGACCCGTCATGCTGCACCTTAAGGAAGGACGAAGAGCTGTTCAATTCTGACCGCAAATACTTGATAATCGAGGAATCCCTCCAAAACTTCCTCCACCCGCTCGCCCCGGAGGTCAATGCGGCGAACAAGCGCGTGCAACACCAGCCACTGCCCGAAGAAGGTGTCGCGAAGGGGGGCGGGGGGGGGGGGTGCAGTGTTGCGGCCACCAGGGCAAGGACTGGTTGCACCGCCGCCAGATTCGCAAGAAGGTGCACTCATGTAACCGCCACAGGCAAGCAGAGGTTTCCCACCATCCCTACCACCACTTCCACAACCCTCACCGCCCACAGCACCCACATCACTCCCGCGTCCGCCAGCGCTTTGGCGCAGCCCATCTCTGTGGGCTGTAAGGAACCCAGAGAGCCCAATACCCCTTAACTGAGGAATATTCCTTCAATCATATTAAGGATCCCTTTATAGTTTAAGGTATATTCCTTAATTAAGCGGTATTGGGCTCTTTGGGTAGGGAGCAGCGGCTAAAGAGCTGCTGCTGATGTGGGTGGTCAGGGTGGTGGAAGCGGTGGGGGGAGGGCCCGGTAGCATCCTGAATGTAAGGCGGTGACAGCGGGGTGCTGTCGGCAGTGGGTGTTGGGAGGTGGTGGATCAAAAACAAGTAAAACATCGGAAGGATGTTCGTCACCCTGCCTGCCACTTATCTAAGGGGCAGGGGCCAATCGTAGCCAAATGTTCGGCCAGTCATGTCCCTCCATCCTAAACGCCGCGTGTATTCCATCGGAAGCGACGAGCCGGAACTGTTAGTTGGGTGCTGCCGCGCAATCTTGAGGCAGCTCAAGAACTGCGGCCACAACAGCGGGCAAGATGTTGCAAACAGTTCACTCGCTTGACCTCCCTGACCGTATTCTTTGTGCTGTTCCAGTGCCCGGGATGGGGTGGACGGGGAGGAGGGCAGGGGCACCTCACCCATGTCGATGACATGTGCCATCCATACTTCCCACATGCGTGGATTAGCATCCCCCATCCCCTGAACTCCAGGAAACTTTTCTTACAGGATCCCTCGCAGTAAGGACATAAAGTAACTTCAACCAATCTAGAACCAACCCCGACATCCCTCAACCCAGCCTCCGCCGCTCATCGACCTTCTCCAGCTCCTGAGGATTCTTCTCCTTCTCGAGCAGCTGCTCCATCCTGTCGAAGGCTTTTGGTTTCAGGATGTCTCGCCTACTTCGCCTGGCCGATCCTTTGCGTCAGGCGCCCCTAAGACAGGCGTCACGCCTCTGTATGGATGCAAGAAGCCTTGCTCGAAACATGCTACACGCCAAACTGCTCAAGCACAGGTTGCCAGGATGAGCTCGGTGTGAGAACGTAGCGACCCTGAACCTGAACCTTCACGAAGCCGCCACAAAAGTAGGACGGGGTCCTTGCTTTCTCGGTCTCAAAGTATGCCTTGCGCAGGGGAGACATCGATCCTCTTAGACCATGTCACTGCAGGGCAGCACTATGAGACAGTGGCTCCAGCACAGCCCTCGGCATGCACTGTCCTTACCCCCTCCGCCTACCCCAGGATGTCATTACAGTCCCTAAACCCTAAACCCTAAACCCTAAACCCTAAACCCTAAACCCTAAACCCTAAACCCTAAACCCGCAGGGCCTGGACGGCATCTTCGGGCAGCAGCGGTTGTTCCGCCAAGCCGAGATGGAACAGGTCGCGAGGCATCCCTTCGGCTCCACTTTCCATGCTTTCTGCCGTAGCAGGGGTTGAGGGTTTAGGGTTTGGGGTTTAGGGTTTAAGTTTAGGGTTTAGGGTTTAGGGTTTAGGGTTCAGGGTTCAGGGTTCAGGGTTCAGGGTTTAGGGTTTAGGGTTTAGGGTTTAGGGTTTAGGGTTTAGGGTTTAGGGTTTAGGGGTACACATGCGCAGATCCATCAGTCTAGAATAGTCTAGATTTGGGAAGGGTCTCAGGTCCTTTGGCTCAGGCCGGTCGGAATGCACGAGGCAGGTGTTCCCTACTTGGAGGTTCATGGTGCTTATTAACCAGTTATAACGTACTTATAACCCACTTATAAGCCCCTTAAGTGCCCTAAGATGGTTGTAAGTACAGTTATATGTACAGTTATAAGGTTAGTATGTACCATGAACCTCCGAGTGCACACCGTGAAGTTTGGATGCCAGGCAGCTTTCACCCTCTCGCCGCGGCGGCGAGCGGTGCTTGCGCGGACTCCGGTCCTTCAGTCGAGAATTGCGGGCGACTCCTCGAAAACTGACTGTTGGTTAGTGGGGACTGAGGGAATGGGGTATCCTATATCCCCTATATCCTATTAGGGAGACTAGGGTACCCCATTCCCTCATTCCCTACTAACCAGCAGGAAGAAAAACTCAGAGGTCGAGACGACAATGAGGCCCAGGCCACGCCCGTTCCACGAAGGCCCACAGAAAAAAGCTCCTGGAGGGTTGGAGCTCAAGTTCAAGGATTAAGGCCGGCCAAAGCTTTCTGCACAGGGTCACACAATCTAAGCATCACGCATGACCTTAGACAGGAAGCTCATAAAAGAATGTGAATTTAAGAGACAAATAACAACCATCATCATCATCATCATCATCATCATTCAACGAGTAACTTTCAATAGCCCTTTTCAAGAGTCCAAGGTCTGACTATGTGCGTCGGTCTGGGAACTTCGGGATTTCGATTGGTTTTCAGACTGCTCGGGATCTTGGCATGCCTGTGTGCTTACCTGCGCTGAATGGGATGCCCAATGCCCAACTAGGACCGGTTCCTCAAAGCATCTCAGAACCTTGCAAAGACTCGAAAACAAATTCGGTGGTTGTCGGCATTGGCTGTGGAGCCCCTGTGTCCAATATTCCTGCCCATGTGAGTCTCGGATCTTGGATTCTGGACCCCTCACAAAGAACTAGGATATGCATGCCCCACTTCTTTGCCCACATCTTGGCGTCAGTGGGCATGAGCAAAGCATTCTATAGAGCGTCTCATTGTCCCAGTGTAAGGGAAATGTTTCGCGGTGGGGGGTGTAACGTAATTACTCCAACCACTGGAGAGCCTTGGA